TTTCTTGAATGGAGGCCACCACAGTGCAGGGAAGAGTAGTGAGCTTGGAATTGGAAGAGCTGGCTCTAAGGAGACCAGCAATTTTCAACCTTTTTTTATCTCTTGGCACACATAATTACTAAAATTCTGTGGCACACCAAAAAATACATTTTTGCTGATCTGACAAAAATAAGTATATATTTTTTTCTTTTTAAAAATTTTTTTATTGTTTAAAGTATTACCTATGTCTCCTTTCCCCCCATTGACCTCTCCCCGGCCATTCCCACCCCCCAGCACGTGCCCTCACCCCCTGTTGTCTGTGTCCATGGGTTATGCTTCTATGTGTGCATACAAGTCTGATCTCTTACCCATGCCTTCCCTCTGAGGTTGGATGGTCTGTTTGATGCTTCTATGTCTCTGGATCTGTTTTTGTTCATCAGTTTATGTTGTTCATTATATTCCACAAATGAGTGAGATCATGTGATATTTATCTTTCCCCAACTGGCTTATTTTGCTTAGCATAATGCTCTCCAGGTCCATCCATGCTGCTGCAAATGGTAAGAGTTCCTTTTTTTTTTTTTTTTTTTTTTTTTTTTACAGCAGTGTAGTATTCCACTGTGTAGACGTTCCACAGTTTTCTAATCCACTCATCTGCTGATGGGCCCTTAGGCTGTTCCCAAATCTTAGCTATTGTAAAATTGTGCTGCTGTGTGAACACAGGGGTGCATATGTCCTTTCTGATTGGTGTTTCTGTTTCCTTGGACTATATTCTTAGAAGTGGGATTACTGGGTCAAATGGCAGTTCCACTTTTCATTTTTTGAGGAAACTCCATACTATTTCCTCCACAGTGGCTGCTCACTAGTCTGTACTCCCAACAGCAGTGCACAAGGGGTCTTTTTTCTCCACATCCTCACCAAGGTATAATTTTTATTCATTTACACCAGACAGCTATTGTTCTATTGGCTGTCTTTTTTTTTTTTTTTTTTTACTATCTAGGGAAGAGGTCAGTGCTCTATAGGGTGGTGAAGACCTGGGGCGGGGTTTGAGGCTGGCTAGAAGAGGTCAATGGGGCGAAAAAGAATATCTGTAGTACTTTCAACAATAAAGATAAAAAAAAAAAAAAAAGAGGTCAATGCCCCAGACTAAATAGTCAGGTGCTGCCTGTTTTAATTCTTGCAGCACACCAGTGTGCCAGGGCATACCGGTTGAAAATTGCTGCTCCACCCTGGCCAGGAAGCTCATTTGGTTGGAGCATCATCCCCACACGCCATGGTTGTGGGTTTCCTCCCTGGTTAGGGCACATACAGGAAGCAACCGATGAGTGGATAGATATGTGGAACAACAAATTGATGTTTCTCTGTTTCCCTCAAAATTAATATTAAAAAAATACAAAGAAAATTGTTGCTCTAGCCCAGGTGGAAGAAAATAAACTCAGCCTCCCAAGGTCCACTGGGCCTGTGTAAAAGGTTCATTTATCACCCAGGGATACTATAATTTGTCTTATTTTTAATACATTAACTTTAGTCATACCTGACCCAGGACTTCCTCCATGCACCTCATTGTCTCTAAGTTTTTTTTTGTTTTTTTGTTTTTAAATATATTTTTATTGATTTCAGAGAGGAAGGGTGAGGGAGAGATAGAAACATCAATGATGAGACAGAATCATTGACCATGTGGCTCTTGCATGCCTCTTACTGGGGATTGAACCTGCAATCCAGGCTTGTGCCTTTAACCAGAATTGAACCTGGGACCTTTCAGTCCACAGGTAGATGCTCTATTCATTGAGCCAAACCAGCTAGGGCTCTCTTTACGTTTTTATTAAGGACACATTTCCTATGTATATACAGGAGTGGTCAAAAGTAGGTTAATAATAATATAATAATTAATTAATATAAGAATAAACTGTTTCACTTACAATTATAAACCTACTTTTGCCAACCCTGTGTATCTAAAAGTAGGGAATGGGATAATGAACCCTCACATATCTGGGGATCCATATTCTGGCTTAGATAATTATCAGCACTGAACTAATTTTGTTTCCTTCTCTCCTTTCCTAACCCCCAGATTAATTGTCTCTTGAGGTTTAAATGGCCATTTATCCTATCCCTGTGATCTTAATTTGCTCATTCAATGATTCCATATCTCTTCATTAAACACTGCCTATGAGTCAGACATTAGTAAGTTTATTGAAGACCTAGTATATGCCAAGCGTTTTACATTCCTAGTATATGCCAAGCGTTTTACATTCCATTTTATTTTATATTACCCACCCTGTTATTATCTCTATTTTACAGATGATAGAATTGAACCTCAGAGATTTAATGACTTGTTCAAAGCACTAACTTTAAATTCTATGTTTTTTTTTCTATGACCCAATGGTCTTGACCTTGAATTACTATCTATCATTGTGCTTCCCAGAAAACAGAGGGCTTCACTCAAACTTATGTGTTCTTGAACCTCTAAATGTGGGTGCCAGGCCCTGTGCTGAACACAACTGACATAATTCCATCTTTAAGATGATTCAACAGGCATTTACAATTCAAAGCATTAAATGTTACCATGGTTTTAAGCCAGGAAAAACTCAATCTTAGTCAAGGAAGGCTTCGTGGAGGAAGTTTAGGACAAGCATGTAGCACAAAACAAAGGGCAGTGGGCATGGTTAGAACGTTCCAGGGCAGACAGGAGCAGTGCAAAGGCTGGAGGAGGGTCTGCTGAATTCTGTGGTTGTAGAATATGTAGGGTTGAATGGTGGAATAATGAAAAACAAGGCAGGAGAAGCAGGTGGAATCTTGAAGGGTCTTTGATGCCAAACTTTAGATTTTACTCAGTAGACCGTGGGGGTGCTCAGCTGGTGTGGCTCAGTGGTTGAGCAGGAACCTATGAATCAGGAGATAATAGTTTGATTCCCAGTCAGGGTACATGCTGGGGTTGAGAGCTCCACCCCCATGTGGTGTGTGTATATAGTGTGTGTGTGTGTGTGTGTGTGTGTGTGTGTGTGTGTGTGTGTGTGCAGGAAGCAGCCAACCACGATTCTCTTATCATTGATGTTTCTATCTCTCTTTTTCCCTTCCTCTCTCTGAAGTCAATAAAAAAATGTATTTAAAAAAAAAAAAAAAAGACTGTGGGGAGCCAGTAAAGGGTCTTAAATAGGAGAGTGATGCCAGATTTGAGTTTTAGAACAATCACGATTTGGAGAATTGATTTAAAAGGGTTGGACAGGGAGACCAAGTAGGAGCCTGATAAGAGTAACGGGAGGTAAGTAAGGTGTGTGGCTTGGACAAAGACAATGCAAGGTAAATAGGAGGGCGGAGGAGCAAGCCTGGATGTGCACCTGAAAGTACTCAAGGGCTCAGAAAGGAGGGTGTTAGCCCCTTCCCAAGGGCTCCTCAGGATTCAAACTCTCCTAAACGGTGTTTACATTAAGGCGGGTGGTGGGGTCTTTCAGAGATAGCATTGTTTTTGGAAGTGAACTAGAAGATCAGCCTCAACATCACAGTGAGAGAAATGTCCAGAGAAGCAAAGCGACTTGCTCTAGGTCACACAGCATGTCAATGGCAGGATATGACTCCTTGCTCTTTTTTTAAAAAAATATATTTTATTGATTTTTTACAGAGAGGAAGGGAGAGAGATAGAGAGCTAGAAACGTTGATGAGAGAGGAACATCGACCAGCTGCCTCTTGCACACCCCCTACCGGGAATGGAAGGGAGAGAGATAGAGAGCTAGAAACGTTGATGAGAGAGGAACATCGACCAGCTGCCTCTTGCACACCCCCTACCGGGAATGTGCCCGCAACCAATGTACATGCCCTGACTGGAATCGAACCTGGGACCCCTCAGTCCGCAGACCGACGCTCTACCACTGAGCCAAACCGGTTTCGGCGACTCCTTGCTCTTTACATGGAATTAACCCGGCCTCCAGTGAGGCTAGCAGCTTTGGGGGTGCTCTGCCAGCACGACTAGACCTAAGGTGGGTGACTCCAGCAAGATGTGAAGGGATTGGATTCTCCCTCCTCCCCTCTGCCTCTCCCTGCCACGCTTTCCCCTACGTGTGGCTCCAGCGATCAGTCAAGGCATAATTGTGGAAACAGTTCCTTTGTGCCCAACAAGAGGTTCAGAAATTACAGTCTGCGGCAAGAGGGCCTATCTTGAGATCTGAGATCCCTTCCTCCCCCACCCTCTCCAGCCAGGGGATGGGGGAGAGGGCATTCCTGAGGCACCTGGTCCCACCCCCCTGTGCTCCCCAACTCCCTTGCGGTTCCTCCAGTCAAGTTCTCACCGAGGCCCCTCCCTCTCAACAGAGGCTCCACTGTTGCCATGGCAATTGGGTGGGTGGACAGCCCATCCTACCTAGAGGCCACCCAACCCTCGCGTGGGGAGTTACCATAACAACCCCCTTAGTACTAGAGGGGGTTGTGTCCTTCCCACTTCCTCTGCAGAGAGAGCGGTGGGCGGCCTGATTGGCAGCTGAGCACACGGAAGAGGAGGGGAAGGAGAAGGGGAAGGAAAGGCGTCCAAAGGAGAGCTAAGAAGAAAGTGGGGGAGAGAGGGCAAAAAAAAAAAAAAAAAAAACCAAATAGGGGAAGGGAAGGAAACACGCGTGCGCACGCGCGGCAGCCGGGGGTGCGCGGCCGCCCGGGCCGCCGCCCACTGCTTTCACGCCCGGCTCGCGCGGCCGCCGGGTCCTCATGGGCGCCTTCCTCCGCCTCCTCTGCGCGTGCGCGCAGGTGCCGGCGCCGAGGGGGAGGGGGGCCCGGCGCGCGCGCGTCACGTTCTCTCCCGTCCGCCCTCCCGGCGCGCCGCCGCTCCGCGCCTGCGCAGCAGAGGCGGCGGCTCGGGTTGCAGGCTCCCCGGACGCAGGCTCCTGTCAGCCCGTGGGTCGGTCCTCCCGCCGGCCCTCCCCTTCCCTGGTGGTGTCCGCCCCCAGGATCCCCCGATGGGGGAGCAGCGGCGACGGCGGCAGCGGACTAGCCGAGCGGGAGCGTGAGCGGCGCCGGGGCCCCCGTTCGCCGCCGCGGAGGCCATGGGCGACCCAGCCCCCGCCCGCAGCCTGGACGACATCGACCTGTCCGCCCTGCGGGTGAGCGCGCCGCCCCCCCAGCTCCGCCCGGGCTCCGGTCCCCGCCGCCGCAGGGGAGCGGGCTGGCCGCTCGCCTCACGTGCTCCCCGGAGGAGGCCCTCTCCGGCAGCCGGCCCGGTCCCCCCTCGGCGACCCCCGCTCCTTTCCCTGGCGCCCCCGGGGGCTGAGCCCCCCGCCTTCCGCTCCTCTCTCTCTCTCCACTTGCTGCAGATTCTGGGGAGCCACCAGTTCGGTCCCCACCCTGGGGGGCCCCGCCCCCACACTTCCCTGCCGCCTCTGCCTTCGCTAAGGCTCCGGGCTCTCTGCCTTCAAGGCGTTGGACGGTCACCCCCCAGTCCCTCTCTAAACTTGCGCTCCATCACCTGCAGGATCTTTATGATGGTGCCCCTCCCTGCCTGCCCGCCCGCCCTCCCTCCCTCCCCCGCCTCTCCAGCCCCTTTCAGTCCTTGCCCTTACTCAGGGCAAGGATTTCCTCCCCCTCCTTTTTCTGGGTTTCTCGAATGTTGACTTTGCAACTGTCTGGACAAGCCTCCCTCTTCCTCACCCTTTATCCTCCTCGGCCACCCCTGAATTGCATCTCTCTCTCTGTGGTCGGCATTTCAGCCTCCCAGCTCCACCCCACACCGCCTACCGTCGTCCTCATCCTCCCCCCCCCCACCCCCCCTATTCAGCTCTCCCTAGCCCTTCTCTGGTGCTTCGAGTGCAGCAGTCTAGAACCAGGCATTTCCGGTCTCAGGGTCCCTGAATATTACATTACCAACTCTGCAGCAGTGTGGGGCCGGGAGAGAGACAAGTGCACGGGTGGAGGAGGGGACGCGTGTATTCTCTCCAGAAACTCCGGCCTGGGTTGGGAAGAGGATGCTTCTGTATGGACACCCACAAAGCCCATGCTGTACGTTATGTGGAAAACCTGCTTGAGGGATGGGGATGGGAATGGGGGTCATGAAGACCTTTCAAGGGAGGGGCTCATTGGAAAAAGGATGAGAAGAAACGACCGCAGCAGGCATTTCTTGGAAATACCTATTTATTGTTCCTCCCGGGGCGCTTGCATGGCCCAACTATGGGAGCTTTTTCAGGAGCACTTGTGTGCTTTTCTGTTTCAACAAGGAGCTCTGACTTAAGGGGGCAATTTAGTGATTTCAAGGTGAACACTCCCGACTGTGGCCCAGGTGGTGTTTTTGTCCCCTGTCCTTCGAGCTTTCCATCAAGCCAAGATGTGTGTGTGTGTGTGTGTGGGGGGGGGGGGGTAGGGGGAAGGAGGCTTTCCCGTCTCTGGGTTAGCTTCTCTGGAGGCTGTTCACAATGTCTTCTGGCTTAGGAGTTCGCCAGGGAACACGGCCAGTTTATCAGGAAAAAGGCGGTCAGCCGCACAGGTGCCCCGGATACGACTGGAGGGGAGAGGGGAATTGGAGAAGAACAGAGTCGTGTTGTTAATTGGGTTTCTCTAGGTGACATAGATTTTTCTTGCCATTCAGGTCATAATTTGTTTGGTGCAGGGTTGGGCTAGGAGACCTGGCTTGCTGGAGCTAAGGTGATAAGCTGCTGAGGAGGGAGAGACGAAGCATCGGATTTCTGTGTGTGTATGGGTGGGGAGAGCGTCTGAAGGCTTGAGCGGGGAGATGTTTAAGGTCGGTTTCAACTTTGATTCTCAAGTTTAGCCAGTTAGGGTAGAAGATGGTAATTCAGGCTCCCCTTTGATTTGCTCCTCTCTGGGACCGGTCCCCACTTTCCCTTCTTCCCTTCCCACTTTAGTAGTTAATTAACTACAGGTTCTGTGGCTGTGGTGGCTAAATTACAATAAAAAAGGGGTGAGTTCAAACCATGACCTTTGATTTAAACCTTGTGGGACTCTGCTTGGGCTTCTGTTTTCCTTTAGCCTCCTCTGCTAAAGTTTGGCCTGGATCCTCAGCCTGGGATTTCCAGCAATTCTGCAAACACCCTTTGACCTTGGATGTGGTATTTCCTTTCTGGACTTTTCTGCTAGAAGCCTTGTTTGCCTCCTTCTTCAGCCTCTTTCCTCAGTTGCCTCCTGCCCTCTCCTTCCAGAGAGGCCCCTCGCTGATCTGCTCCCAAGTGCTTCTGTCTTTCCTGCCTCAGGCTTCTTCATAAAGCACCCCTCCCCCACTACCCCCCTGCTACACCAGGGGTTGGGAGGGAGCTGTGCTTTCTTTGAAATGGGGCTAGAAAGGGCCTGTTTCCTCCTTGATGCTGACCTTTTCTCAGTGCCTGTCCCCTCTACTCCACCTCAGAGAGCTGCTGTGGCACTGTGGGGCGACCAGCTCAGTCAGCTCTTGCTCTGTTCCTGTCTGTTTTCCAGTGAGAAATGGATAACCTAGAGAATTAACAGCAAAGATGTTTCCCATTGCCCTAGTGAATTTGGCTCAGTGGATAGAACGTCAGCCTGTGTGGACTGAAGGGTCCCAGGTTCGATTCCAGTCAAGGGCACATGCCTGGTTTTCAGGCTCGATCCCTAGTGTGGGCTGTGCAGGAGGCAGCCGATCAATGATTCTCTCTCATCATTGATGTTTCTATCTCTCTCGCCCTCTCCCTTCCTCTCTGAAATTAATAATATTTTAAAAAATATATTTTATTGATTTTTACAGAGAGGAAGGGAGAGGGATAGAGAGTTAGAAACATCGATGAGAGAGAAATATCGATCAGCTGCCAGTAGGGGATGTGCCCGCAACCAAGACTGGAATCAAACCTAGGACCTTTCAATCCGAAGGCCGACGCTTTATCCACTGAGCCAAACCGGTTTCGGCAATTAATAATATAAAAAAAAAAATGTTTCTCTTTACATCATCATGTATTGGGGTCCTAGGGAGGAGGTGGGAGAGGAATATATTGAGCATTTAGTAGCTGGTCTTAAAGAGGCCAAATTGTCATTCTTCTCTTATTTCAAGATAAGGCTTGATTTTTAGCTGGTGTTGAGAGTAATAGCCTGATATTGGGGAAGATTGAATTGCACTAATCTCTTAGTCATGTGTGGGGAAGCCAGGTGGACCTGCCACTGTGATCACGGGCACCATTGACCTCTTTGAGGCTCCATTTCACCATCAGCACAGTAGTATGGGGTTGTATTCCTAAGTTCAAGTCCTGGCTTTTTCACTGAAACCTTGGCTTTGCTCTTCCTCCTTCCCGTACTTGCTACAGATTCTGTAAAGCTCTTACCCTCTCTAAGGCTCTGCTTCCTCATTTGTATAGGAGAGGAATGTAAACTAGTACTGATCTCAGTTGCTGGGGGTTAATGAAATACTGTATGCTAACTACTTAGTCCAATTCCTGGCACATAGCGACCATATACTAGCTTTTATTGTTGTTAATTGTTATCAAATGGCAATCAGAGAAGCCTTCTAGGGCAACTGTATCTAAAATAGCATTCCCTCCCCTGCTTAATATTTACATACAATTTTATATAACATTCCCTTAGTCTGCTTTATTTTTACTTCTAGTATATATCACCAGCTGACATACATATTTTCATCAACCCTGACTAAAATGTAAATACAGTGAAAGCTAGGACTGTGACTGTTGTTCATTTTTGCATCCTGAGCGCCTATGGCAGTGTTTTGCGCATAAAAGGGGCTCAAAAGGTTGTTGAGCCAAAACCGGTTTGGCTCAGTGGATAGAACATTGGCCTGTGGACTCAAGGGTCCTGGGTTTGATTCCGGTCAAGGGCATGTACCTTGGTTGCGGGTACATCTTTAGTGTGGGGTATGCAGGAAGCAGCTGGTCGATGTTTCTCTCTCATCGATGTTTCTAGCTCTCTATCCCTCTTTCTTCCACTCTGTAAAAAATCAATAAAATATATATTTTTTAAAAAGGTTGTTGAATAAATGCATGTTATAATAAGTGAAAACTCTTAGCACAATGCTTGCTTAGAGAAAGGATTCAACAAATGTCATGCTTATTAGGCTTCCTCCTGCCACTCGTTTGTATGCACACAATTAAGAATATATCTTTTCTGCCGGGACTGGTTTGGCTCAATGGATAGAGCGTCGGCTTGGGGACTGAAGGGTCCCGGGTTTGATTCCGGTCAAGGGCATGTACCTTGGTGTTGCGGGCATATCCCCAGTACGGGGTGTGCAAGAGGCAGCCGATCAATGACTCTCTCATCGATGTTTCTAACTCTATCTCTCTCCCTTCCTCTCTGTATAAAAATCAATAAAATAAAAAAAATAAAAAATAAAAAAAGAATATATCTTTTCAAGGTTTGAAATCAGACCTTGTCTGGTGGAAAAGAGGGTTCTGGAAACTTCTATCTGAGCAATGCTCATGAAGTAAAATTAGGATCATTCAAGAGAAAGTTTGGGCGTCTTGCTTCAAACCTTTTTTGTGTCCAAGCTTGGTTATATTCAGGAAGAGTCTTCTGACTTGGAACTCATGGCTTCTCACAGAGGACAAGTGTCAGTGGAAGTGGATGGGACAAGGAGGGAGCAGACCCCAGGCTGGCCTCTTTCCTGTGCATTGCTCCTTTTGGTTAACCCACTTCATAAATCAAACAGCTTCTCTTTACTGTCCGACCAGCTGGAAGTTTTAGACTGCAGTGTTCCTTGAAATTATGGAGCTAAATACAGTGTTGTTGTATTGAAATAATATGGAGCTCAGTCAAGAGAGACTTGTTGCTAGGTAGTAGTGCTGACAGAGATGTTCTTTCCCAATGATTTTGTGTTGTTGTGTCTGTTCTTTGGAGAACTCTCTTCCCCCTCCTTGTCTCTTCATGAGACTGTAGAGCCAGCGCCACTTGGAAAGCTGGCAGTTCTGGGCATGCATTTCTAGGCTGCTGAGCAACGTGGGACTGCTACTGTGTTCCGATGTGCTAGCTGTCCAAATGTTGATGACAGATGCCTCAGGCAGGGGAACGTGAAGACTGACCTCCTACTGCAGGAGAAACGGTGTTAAATAGTGACTTTTTTCTTAGAGAACTGTAAACGGGGAGTGGGGCTGTTTGGGGAGCTCGTGGCATTTGGAATGAAGCGAAATGCTATTTGGCAAAATGA